AAAAAACTTTGATTTTAATGTAATATGCATTGGTTTTAATTTTCTTAGTAACGAAAAGTTTGGTCTAAAATAAATTACATGATTATTTGTTGTATTGTTTTAAATGCAAGTAAAATTCAACTTACCGTAGTTGTCCGAGTATGAACCTCTGCTCGAGTATAAGCCCCCCTCCAATTTTACAGCATTTTACAAGTCGTTTATCCGATTATAATGTACCTCCACTTTTGAAATGTCAGTTTTTAAAGTTGTTTTTTAAATATTTTGGCGTCATTTTTCGAACATTTCATTCCTGACACCTAAAATGGTCTATTTAAGTTGTTATTCAAGTACTTGTTTATTGTGATTAGCATGAATGGGTAAGCTTGTTTCGACAATGAGTCGTTATCACTGTAAATAATGTTAAATTATTCTTTTAATGCTCAGTTTATCTTTTGAAAACTATTCTTTGATTTGAAAAAAAAATCATGCTGTTTTTCCATCAAAATCCAAGCCAAAGAAACATACTACAACATCGGCAAATCTTTTCCATGTTGCTTTCAATAACATTAACATATTTAAATGAGCTAAGGTAATTTGAACACGTTGGCATCATCAAGTTTTTGATTGGTTAATTAGCAATTTAACCTATTAGGTCAACTCTGCAAGACAAAAGAACATGGCGGATACCCTACATCGAGTGTTTATATGCAACCGGAATCAATTGCTTATGATGAAACTAAGTTGAATTTTATTTGCATTTCATAACAATTCAAAGAATTTATTTTTTTGTACGTTATTACAATCACTACTGAGTAATAATCAACAATTATGAAACGCAGCATGACTGGATTGAGCAACCATGAACATTTGCTGCTACACAATGCGGTTGTGTTAGTTTTTTTTTAGCTCCGCTGTCGACTTTGTCGAGCGGAGCTTATCATATGAGTGATTGTCCGTCGTCGTCCGTGTCAATGTTTTACTTTTTCGACTTCTTCTTGAAAACTACAAGCCTGAATGCTTTGATACTTGGTGTATATGTACCTTGGGTAGACCTCTCTTAGGTTTGTTCATTTCATGTTGATATCTTCAATTCTCTAATTTTGGTGAATATTTTTGTCATTTTTGGTAAAAAGTGATATTTTCGACTTCTTGTTAAAAACCAAAAGTTCAATTGCTTTGATATTACATATATAGATACTACATGTAGACCTTTCTCAGATTTGTTCATTTCGTGATATCTTCAATTCTCTAATTTTGGTGAATATTTTTGTCATTTTTGGTAAAAAGTGATATTTTCGACTTCTTGTTAAAAAACGCAAGTCAGATTGCTTTGATATTACATATACAGGTACTATATGTGGACCTCTCTCAGATTTATTCATTTTGTGATGATATCTTCAATTCTCTAATTTTGGTGAATATTTTTGTAGTTTTTGGTAAAAAATGTTATTTTCGACTTCTTGTTATTAAAAACCAAAAGTTCAATTGCTTTGATATTACATATTTAGATACTACATGTAGACCTTTCTCAGATTTGTTCATTTCATGATGATATCTTCAATTCTCTAATTTTGGTGAATATTTTTGTCATTTTTGGTAGAAAGTGATATTTTCGACTTCTTGTTAAAAACCGCAAGTCCGATTGCTTTGATACTATACATATTGTTCATTTTCTAATGATGCATTCAGTTCTTTAATTGAAATGTGCATTGCTAACAGCGGAGCTATCTCAGCCTATAGGCTGCTTGTTGAAACTTTGTTTAGAATATACTTTCGTTACCCCAAAACGTACAGACCAATATTCACGTGAAATGCAGGGTCGAATGCTGTTCTACTTAGTAAACACACCCATGAGTGATTAGTGACCCGGATGCGTAGCGGCTGATCCTCAAGTTAATTTGGACGATGCTAGTCGATGAAGACACTCGTGTACACACGACGATTTGTTTATGAATAAATTAGCATAAATTATTGCTCAGAACCATGAAACTGGGTTCTTTGACCTGATAGGTCAAATTGATTTATTAACCAATCAGAATACTGGATTGTCCCAATGTGTTCAAATTACCACAGCTCATTTAAATATGTTAATGAGGGTTCTGTGACTTCACTGAATGGTGAACATAACACTGAGGGGATTTACCAATGTTGTTGTATGATCTTTTGGCATGACTTTCCAATGAATCAAGATATTAGTAGTTTTTGAAAGATAAACTGGAAGTGGAAGAAACGTTTTATGAAGATAACAGCTCATTGTTGAAACAAGAGTTTACCTATTCACTTTAAACGATAAACATTGCACTCTTGAGTGATGCAGTGACTTCAAAAAACCTACATTAGATCCTAATTTAGGCGAAATGTTTGAAAAATGAGTATGATAAATGAGTATTTATGACAGGCAATCATTTCACATAACTTGAGTATCGTGAAAATGGTTAAAAACTACTAAAACCAAAACTGGATGGTACAGTGGTTACCGTCTTCGCCTCACTTCAAGAAGGTTTTGTGTTCGATTCTTGGAGACCACTGATTACTGGGCAGTATAAATCAGTTTAAGTCTGTTCTGCTTTTAAAACACAGGGTATTCAGTTTGGCACATGTATACAGAAAAAAAAAATTTCAGAAGAGAACAGCAGTTACCTTTATTTCTTGGAAATGTTGCCGGGGGGGGGGGGGGGGTATCAAGGCACGAGGTACCCGGGAATGTAATCCTCTTTATTTTAAAAATAACATTTTGCAAGGGATGCTTTTATTTAGGTTTGTGATTGGAATTTTAGCAAAAACCAGTCAGTTTTGAAATGGCAGGCTGGTACATATGATATATAAAGTTAGTAGTAAACTGGTTCAACATTTCTTATGTCGCTGGTACTATTGTAGGTGAATCAGCTTCATTTTTAGGACTTACCAAATACTGGTCTTAAATTCAGCCCTATCTATTACAAAATCAATGAATTGAACCGTCATAGCATAGCAACTACTAAAAATCTTTTTTCAACTACTCTCTTTCTGACTGGCTTCTTAATTTG